TCTACCTTTACAGGCTATTAGCACCTTATTAACAGGCTATTAAAACTTTCCTGCTCCTCAACAGGTACATGGGCCTGCATCTATTTACCAAGACTCGTCAGGTAATTCAGAGGTCTCCCCCTCCCTTTTTTCCTTCAATCCTGCCTGTCCTTACTATCTCTTCCAGTTGCTTTTTTCTCATAATAAGTCCCAAGATAAGACAAATATTAATACTAACACGTGAGATATGTGCTTTTGAATAGATTATGCTGTTATTCTATTCCCAAATGTAGCAACATTGATCAGAGCAATGGTCTAAATGGGGGCAACCCATTTTTCTTCAACTTACACTTCTTCTTTAAATCAAACTCAATTTCAAACTTCCTTCCTAAAAATCAATTTTTGAAGCAACAACTAATACACAATCTGAAAAAACGAACCAATATAACAAGCTACATAAAAACCTAACAAGAAAGTTTTGTATAGAAGGGAAAGTTAGCTCAGCTCTGTAAATGTTTAAAGTAATTGCAGAAGTAATGCTCTGAAAAAAAATACTAAAAATCATATTCCAGCACTTTGAAATAACCACAGAATGATCCTCGAACGATGATCTTTATTTCTTTTACGCCCAAGCAGTTAACTGTCTTATCTTTTCCATATACTACTTTTGAGATATGGATTGTATTGCAGGTAGATCCAAGGGGCTCCAAAAAGATAAATTCATGGAGATTTATTGTCGAAGATTCATGGGGATCAACAGAAATACTTGGAGTTTGAGATTGGTTCTTTTAGAATGAACAATATTTCCATTTTTTTCATCTCCTCCGCAGCGGATAAACTCCTGCAATCAAGAGTAATGCCATAGCCTATTCTAAGGGAAATTAGCTGCGGGGGCAACCTTTGTTTATACAAAAAGGGACAATAGCCTATTGTTTAAAACAATAGAAAGTCACTTGGGATGCAGGGGCAATTGCCCCCTAGTAGGAATTTAAAAAAGGCCCTGAGTAATGCTAGTGGTTGATCTGTTGCTACAAGGGCATGACAACATATTTTACAGCACACGCTCCCTGTTTGTGAGTGTGGCTTCTTCGACAGTGATCTCACAGTATGAGAACGTAAATAGCAACATACAATTTAAACACAGCAAAGCAATAATGGTGGATTTGTGCAGTGCTTTTGTGTTGGATTGTTGAAAATGGCGGATGCAGAAGACAGGAAATCAGCTGTTGAATGCATTCGATTGTATTGAATACGTTGCAAGCTATGGGTTTAATAATTCTTATTATCTCGAATAAATGGTGACAGATGGCCTAAGCTACAAAGGGGATAAGAGAATAAAGCTAAGCTGAATTGAATCTTTAATTTGCCACGACAGTTGATAAATTCGAAAAACTACACACGTGCTTGTACTGGGTGAACAGCGGAGACGGCTTATTAGCAATTCTCTTTCTTTGTCAAGATACCGTTAGCCGTTTTCGACGTTTGGATTAAGACTGCAGTGTCAATAGCAACAATAAAGTGATCGAGAATTCCTCACAGCATGTCCTTCTGTAGGAAAGATCGTACTGAGAGCAAGGTCCGCTGTGAAGTGCTTCGTTACTGAGGATTTATTTCATTAATGCATAAATATTGCAATCATCTAATAAACTCTCATGTTTATTGCAGGCCGTTCTTCCTACGCAGCTATCATAATATTCAAATATAAAAATGAGAAGAAGACAACACGTAGATATTTTATACACGATAAAGCAGTTTTCATTGTATAATCATCAATTATATAACGTGAATTATCAATTTATCGTGAATAATAGATCATAATGCTTAATATGTAAGCAAACAGAAATAAACTAGCCACAGCAAAAATATCAAAGCTATAATGAAGTAGGACCTTAACAATGAAATTAAAACAGAAAGCCTTGACTAACCATTGTAAATTAGCTTTGTCACGGTTTTCTAAACAAACCAAATACACGGGACATTGTGCGTTCTTAGCCTAATTTGCACATCGGGAAAATGGCGGATGGTGCTTCGGTCAATCAGACTGGCTTTAGACTGGTTTTGGGTGGTTTTTGGTGGTTTTGGCTGGCTTTTGATGGTTTTTGGTAGTTTTGGCTGGCTTAGATTGGTTTTAGCTGGCTTGTTTGAAATCCTATGCCAATATGAAAGCTCTTTTGTAATACATTTCTTCAACATTCAATCTTCAAATATCAATTAGATTAAATTGTTGACTTCAGGTGTGGATTGAGGACCAGAATTCTAGTCTACCACTACAATTTTATGATGCTGGTGCTCGATATATTAATTCTCTGACGACACAAAGTTTGAAGCTTTAAAGTTGACAAAATGTCTACAAATAGTCTATCAACATAGAAGGTATAATCTTTATACTTTATATATAGAACACCCAGATGTCCTATGTAAAAATATACAAGCTTAGCTCATATAAAAGTTAAAGAACTTCAAATAGCAAACATATGATTATATTGTATTAAATGACTATGTTTAATGACATTCACAGCCCTATCTAAGATAACAACATGTTTTATATATTGGTAATAGCTGAAAATTTTGACAATCAGATAGACTACGCATTAGCAGGGCCAATCTGGCACAACGTCATCATATACATCTGACATCATAAACAGTTCAGTTTCGAAACCCCCGACTACATCATTCGAGCATTCAGATCAAATGGTCCGAGGCAAAATGTTGTTAGAAATCCGAGACATCAATGTTATCTAAAGGAGTGTCCCATTTATTATTATTATTATTATTGCTTTTCTTCTGAAATAATATTGTTTTTGAAATAATGAAATTTCTCCGAAAGACAAAAATTTGTTTGCCTCTGCCAAAAAATTGTTGGGATCAAACATTATGGCTCTTTGTAATTCTTAAGCATTTTCAGACAGGCATCAGAAATCAGCTGCTCGAAATACTTTGACTTTCAGGTACCTTCATACTGAAAAGCATCCAGGGCGTTTTCTAACTTTCTATCATATTCTGCAGGCGTTTTTTAGAGAGGGGGGGGGGACTTGTTGAACATGTTTTTAAATTCAAAAAAGGATCGTACAATGTCCTGTTTACAACTACCTGGAATAGCTTGATAACTGGCAATCTTCAAGTGTTACCCGGGGGCGTCGCGACCGGAGAGGTGTGGGGGGGGGGGTGTCACACCCCCCAATAGTATCTCGATAGGAAATTTCAGGTAAAATCCGCCCAGTGGAAGAAACGCTTTAGGTATTTCAGCGACCTTCATGTATTAACATCAATAAAGGATCAAGCAAACATAGTTGCTCCTTTGGCTAAACATGATATTTCTTGATATGGAGGAAGATAAAAAACTAATGCTTGAAGATTTGAAGATTTCTTGTTGGCACAAAATCTAAAAATCCAGGCACTCTTTAGGTAAAATTGTGTCTTGTGTCCATTTCCCCTAAAAAGGCATGCTAAGGTGGAAAGAGGGATCTAAATTGGCAACCAGTGCTGCTTGTTACCTAGCTTTAGAAGTAACTGACAAAATGGAATTTTTCAAGACCACGGCGAAATTGTACCAGTTGCTTTTATCTGATGTTCAATTTGTTTGCAAAAAAAAAAAATTTCGGTAGGATTAGAAGGATTGCTTTAGTAAAATTTACTTAAAAGAGTGCATATTCCAGGTAACTGGAAGCATCAAAATTTCGAAAATTTTCTGGTCCTTCGGCGGCAAAAAGGTGCCGCCTCGGGTAGTTACCCGTCCCGGTATACAGATTTGGCAAAACTATTAGGAAAGTCCGTTATTATCATTTTAAAATGAATGTTGTAAATTATAAACCACACAGTTAGATTGCTAAAATGTATTGCAGAGGTTTGTGACAGCAACTTAAGAATTTCAGGTAATTATCTTTTTATCAGATAAATTTGTAGTCCTCGCGACGGCCCTGTGTTACCTAATATTTTACCAATATTTTCCGATAAATGTTTTCCCTATTCTAACGATGGGCTTTCTTTCAAGGGGAGATATAACAGAGGGTGTACTTTCTTACATTTTGACATCATTAGAGAGGTGCTTTTGTCAGGGGGCGTTAAAAATGGTGTGTTTTCTTAAAGCATTTAAGGCTATGTTCACATTGCTCCGTATTAATTTTTATCCGTTTTCATATCGATCCGTTTTACCTGTTCACACTGATCCGGATACATTTGAAAACGTTATGAAAATGATGAAGCGTTCACATTGCTCCGCTATAGATAAAAAGGAAAACGCCACGAACTGGTTTACAGACCTTGCCACTGCTAATAAACTTTTCAAACAACTCACTGCCACTAATTTTACTCCGAGTAGTATACTAACTTCGAGTGAATCAGCCATTTTAAGAAGAGTTGTTCAAATTGGCGTGGTCTAAGAATCTTGCTTTATTTTTTGTTGTTGTTAGCGCAAGGCACAAACGGATACTTTTTTATCCGTTTTCATATGAATACGGAGCAGTGTGAACGGGGCCTAAAGCAAATCTGCACTTAAAGCGACGAGGTCGAAGATCAGGCTGACTGTTCGTAATTTCTCCAAACTTTTCAGGCTGGATTGTTATTTATTAATTTCTAAATATTTCATTTGCAATTTTGATAAGTTTGGATACGAGATAAAACCTTGTTGCAAGTAATTGCAACATTTTCAACAATCAGGAAAGTATTTTTAAATTGTAGCTTATGCTTATGCATTGTGAATCTCTACAGGGAAGTCATTTTGCAGCGAAGTTATCTCTGCAGGGAAGTCTGAAGCGGGTTTAACACCTGCCTTTTCGACAGGCTGCTGCATGATGCAACGAACGAATTATGCAACACCATAAGCACAGAATGGCAGGAAATAAAAGCATGGGTTTCCAAATCGATGAACAAATGCCAACGAAAAAGAGATGCCAAACTGAATCAAATTCTAAGGTCGATGATGACTAAGTGCTTTTGATTCAGATATAAATTCTATTGACTCCTCAAGATCTCTGATCGTTTGAGATGAACCTATATGAGATTTCAACAAATAAGACAAACAGTTGACAAGATCTACATGTTCGCTTTATATGAAATATGAAGATGATTAAGGAAATAAGATGAAAAACCATGTATCTGGCAAATTCTAAAATCAATAAAAATACAATACCATCTAATCCCATACCAAATTAACAGGATTACCGGATCTGAACGAATCTTCACAAGCTTGTGCAATCTTGCAGGCACTTAGGGTATCTTCTGAACTGATAGAAATCTTCTGTCCATTCAAAGCATCTAAGAAATGGTCTAGTTCCCTACGATAGCCCTCTGCATACCTTGTATTGAACGAGTACTCGAGTATGTCACATGCTATAGCATTGCCATCTGAAAAGCATACTGATGATTTTGAAGGATTTTTGCTCTCTAGCATGCCTTTACTACCAAAAACCTCCAACCTCTGATCGTAACCGTATGTAGCCAATCTGCTTAAATCTATCAACGCTAATAAACCGCTTGGAAACTTCATTGTTATGGCAACAGTATCCACGTCGTTCATCTTTGCGATATCACTGCAGAATGCGTGACCCATTGCGCTTACGGTAACGGGCTTTTCACGCGCAATCCACATAACTAAATCAATGTCATGAATACCGCAGTCGTGAAAAATACCGTGCGATAATTTCAAGTACGCTAGGGGCGGGAAGGGTGAATCGCGACTACATGTTTTAATAACTTGTAACTGGCCTACCTTACCAGCATTGACTTCGTCGCGAACTTTGCTGTGAGTTGGGTCAAATCTCCGATTGAAAGCGCAAAGCAAAGGGATATTTTTCTCTTCAGCAATCTTGTAGCATCTTTCTACAAAAGCAAAAGAGAAAAACTGTAGTCACAATATTGAATAAATGAAGTTACACATCGTTCGAATTGTGGTGTTAGGATCTTTGATTTGTGGTTGTGATGAAAAAATATAATTACAAAGTTGGTAAGGCTACCTTACCTTCTATACATATCGAGAATAGTCACTGGGAATCTTTTAGAGAAGGAGGAAAATCCCAAAACAAAACTTCGTCGTTTCGAAAAAGAGTGCCTTCAATAAGGGATATGTCTCAGTTTTAGGTCATGACTGAATGATGATGAACAGGCTAACTGTTCTATGAGAAAAGACCATTTCATGCAGCTTTCCTAGGCTTATGACATAAACTCTTTTCTTTATAAGAACCAATAAATTAAATTTGAGGCTGGCTGTTCTTAATTTTCTGGAAAATTTGAGGCTGGATTGTTCTTAATTTGTTCCCAAGCTATTAGGGTGTAAGCAGTGAAATTGCTAACTTGCTCTAGGTTTTGTTAAGGCCTCATCTGCCAATGAAGTGTGTAGGACATCCTTGATTAGCAGACAGCTTTGAAAATTCAGCAAAAAAGCACCTCAAGTGACAAAAAACTTTTGATGTAAAATGTTGAGAGGGTTTCACAGTATTAAAATTCTAAAATTATCACATTTAGCAGCCCCAGCTAGTTCTTCATTTGTTCTTAAATTTCGACAAAGTTTTTTACATCTTTTTATGTTGACACTAATTGAGCTTTTGGTTAATTTTTCAATGATTTAATCCCTTCTAACAAAAAGTGTAGTTTTTGTAACCTGGTGACATTTTCATTTTTAAACTGGTGTTTTTCAGAATTAACATGACTCTTCAAGGACTTATGATGCTATGGTGGTGCTACGATGGTGAATGGAGTTGTGACACCCAATTGGAAATACATTTAATTTCAGTGCATAAACAAGAAGTTTTTTACCATGTAGGGGTGATTCCTAGCAAACTTTTAGATCTGTCGGCAAACAAAGTTTGCCTCACCCACTTTGTCAGAAAATGGGATCTATCACCCCCCTTGAGCAAAATCTGAAAATAAAAACTGCTTTTATTCATTAAATCTCTCTCATCCATGCTCAAGCTCTTTCAAAATCTTAGGGCTTCAGTTTCTGTTTCATATTTTAAATTCTCTACAATTTTTCATATACTGAAAACAAAGATCTAAACTACAGTATTATAACATATAAATGGGAAACTAATCATAAAAGGAAAAGGGGTGACAAAAAGAAAAAAAGAAGTGTCCTTTACCTGTTCCTTCATAAGTTTCAGCTAAAGGTTTTTCACAAAAAACAGCTTTGCCTGCATGAAGACACTTCAGGACATATTCTTCATGGGTGCTTGTTATAGTTGATATAATCACGCCATGTAAATCTGGATCAGCTACAAAGCAAGAGACATGCAAATAAACTATAAAATATCATATCCTAGAAAATAGCTTTGTTTCAAATGATTTGCACACTGCTTTCAAATATGTTTATTTGTTTGGTGTTGCACTATTTTAACCAACTGAACTATATCATATTTACATAAAACAATTTCATTTCTATCAACAGTTTCAGCATTTCTCACCACAAAGTCAAATTTAAGAGATACAAAAATTTAGAGATAGGGAAAAAGGCAGAGAAACAGAATCAAGTCTTGATGGTGTTGCCTGTGATGGCTGCAAAAAAACTGATAATCCCAAGGCCCTAGCTGTATATTGCATACCACTGTGATTTTTTGCAGATTAAAATATATTTTTCTTAAGCTGCTCTTGATTGGTTTCTTTCAAGGGTTCTGGTTTATATCTTCATAAAATAGTTTGTTAAAAGCTCTGTAGATACAAGGACATCACATGATTAATATATTCAGGCTCATTCTTTTAATTTTGTTTATCTAATTGCCTGTCTCCATCACTCAAAGATAACAGCTACCCAAATTTGATCTGAATTTTTATGTATTTTTCTTTGTTATATTAACCTTTAAGATTCTTGTAAATATTCTCACAAGTTAGGAGGTTTGTATATTGCTATGCCCTAATTCCAAACCAATTTAGCATTCCTGGCAATAAAAAATTTGTTGGTGTGCTAATAATCCAAAGCCTTGAAAAGTTTTGGCGTGCAATGCTGTGCGATCCATAAAATAGAGACCTTACAATTTTATGGAAACCTGATTGGCTTTTAGACACAGCAAAGACAGAGACATCAGAAAACTGAGTCATTCAATCTCAGCAAAAAGAGCACAAACAAAGGATATGAGAACGGATATAAATGGAGTAATGGAAACACCCACATTATGGTTTTGACCAAAACAAAGTGGCTCAGGGTAATGTACTCAATCTCTGGCCCTGTATTAATAAGTTTACATAGTCAGCCACTTAATTCCAATTTACCCCACTTGTAATAATTGTTATTTGCAATGCACCAATTTGACTTGTGAACTCATTTTGGAAATTCCTCCAAAATACGACTTTTTTAACCTTAGATTTGATTTCATCAATATAATTTTAAGCCAGATGCAATTTTTCATATTGTTTGTGCATGTATCTTAGATTTTACGGAGAAATGAAGTTTGAAAACTTGTAAGGGATTTGATGGCAAAAACATTCCAGGTAAAACTTTGACCCCCTAGTCCCCAATCACAGTCAAATCCCTTATAAATTTTTTATTTTTATGTTGTCATAAAATCAATATCTTGAGCAAAACCATAATGAAAACTTCCAAATAGACTAAAATCACTGCTCTTAATCCGAATCTGTGGTAAAAAATTTTGTACAAAAGAAGTTGAAGAACCAAAATGATGCCATAATTCGAACTGGTGTATTCATATTTTTTGACTAACAGTTTTGTTGTAACTTTTGATTTTGTTGAAAAATTGAGGAAATCCTCCTTTTACTTATCATATGACGTGCAAACAGAAGTTTTCTACATTAGTGCTATTGTAAATTTGGCATTCCTATATTAGTGCAATTTCAAATTTTGGCATTCCTAACTAAACTACATTGTACTCGTGTACTGACTTGGGCACATGGCCTGATTGTTCCCCTTTAGTGTTTCAATGTGTTCATTATATTATATTTCTTATAAAGTTTTCCCATTCATTCTCAGTTAATTTGTACGTAATTGCTGTTTTGCTGATTAAAAGAACTTCAGTTTATTCTTGTCTTGGGGTTGGGTCCTCGGGGAACTTCTTCCTGTCCAGAAAATAATTCTCTACTAGAAATAATTTCAAACCCGAAATATAGCTTGCTTCATAATTAATAATCTCAGTCCCCGAAAAGATCTAAAAATTGAGCAAAAGATCAATCAATCAACCAATAATAAAAAAGTTTGAAGCATTTTACCTAAGACAGAACTGAATTCGCTTGGCGGATGCACGGTCGTCCTATCAAGTTTTAAGTCTGCCACTAATTTCTTCCCTTTTTCTACGTCTATATCAATAACATATCTAAGCGCAACACGCCTGTTTGATATACAGTTGTTGACATGAATTGTTCCTGCCCGTCCGATACCAATGATCGCTATGCCTACTCTTCGGTTATCCGCCATTTTGCTTCGCTTCTACAAATCAGTGCACAGGAACGAGCGTAGTCTAGCTTTCCTACAGCGAGCGCTTGTTGGTTAACACCACAGCACAACAAGGTCTGGAATAGACCTATTCGAGCAAAAGGAGAACTCTTCTTCGTGGTAATTGTCAAGATCATGACATGAGATAAAGATGGGCAATCCCGCGCAGAGCGATTACAATCTTATCTGATGGATTATTCCTACAGCGAGTGCTTATTGGTTAACACCACAGCAGAACAAGGTCTGGGATAGACCTATTCGAGCAAAAGGAGAACATTCGTGATTATTGTCAAGATCATGACATGAGATAAAGAGGGGCAATCCCGCGCAGAGCGATTACAATCTTATCTGATGGATTATTCCTACAGCAAGTGCTTATTGGTTAACACCACAGCAGAACAAGGTCTGGGATACACCTATTCGAGCAAAAGGAGAACTTTCGTGGTTATTGTCAAGATCATGACATGAGATAAAGATGGGCAATCCCGCGCAGAGCGATTACAATATTATTTGATGGATTATTCCTACAGCGAGTGCTTATTGGTTAACACCACAGCAGAACAAGGTCTGGGATACACCTATTCGAGCAAAAGGAGAACTTTCGTGGTTATTGTCAAGATCATGACATGAGATAAAGATGGGCAATCCCGCGCAGAGCGATTACAATATTATTTGATGGATTATTCCTACAGCGAGTGCTTATTGGTTAACACCACAGCAGAACAAGGTCTGGGATACACCTATTCGAGCAAAAGGAGAACTTTCGTGGTTATTGTCAAGATCATGACATGAGATAAAGATGGGCAATCCCGCGCAGAGCGATTACAATATTATTTGATGGATTATTCCTACAGCGAGTGCTTATTGGTTAACACCACAGCAGAACAAGGTCTGGGATACACCTATTCGAGCAAAAGGAGAACTTTCGTGGTTATTGTCAAGATCATGACATGAGATAAAGATGGGCAATCCCGCGCAGAGCGATTACAATCTTTTTTGATGGATTACAAGCAAGTCAAAGAGTTTTCTGTCTTTAAAAGAAAATCAGAAGACCAAATAACGCACTTTGGACCCTATCTCGACTTGGTTACTTTGCGGATCACTTTCAATTGTTAAAAACTCTACTTTGGACGTAGCATCCCACATATCCGACCGGTGAGTAATCAATCGTTTGTTTCAGTTGATTGAGCGAAGCTCGCCTGAACGGGTCTTGTCACATTTGAGTCTGAACTATCCTATGCCAGATTGCCAGTCGGATTGCACGAGGCAACTACAGTACAGAAACTGAGGACATTCTGTCTGATGTGGATGACAAAAATATCTTAGTAGCCCCTACGATACCATAGCATATTAAAAGACTCTAAAAAAGTAGGTTTTTTTCAGGAAAACCTCTTGACTTGTTTTCATCAGATCTCAGCAACATATTGCAATATGTACAGTTCACAAATGAATCGGTTAGAGAAAAACTTAAGTATGGAATGGAGTGCCAAAGCGATTTCAAATTTGTCATAAAATGACATCTTATTGTAACTCTCACTGTAACGTAACTAAGGTTCTACCCACAATGAATACTCTTAAACACCAAGAAGGGGGTTTCGTCAATTAAAAAAAACCCAACAGCAAAGGACTGTAATGATCCATCGCCATTGTCCTATTTGTATGTGTCAAAAACCCATATCATTACGAACGTAACAGGACTGAGAACCCAAAGCTCTTATAAAAACTCTAAAACGTTTAAAGAAGAGCAAACAATGCAGACATCATTGCATATGTATATTTTCAAAACAGGTATTTACAAAGATAAAATAAAATTATTTTCCATCGTTAGTTTTAACAGATTTTTCTGCTAATCTTGAAGTTCTTCGTTTCACAACGCCAGCAGGTTTCTGATCTGTTGTCTTTTTATCGGGAGGCTGTTTTCCACCAGTTTTGGCGACTAAAAGGGGAAATTAGAAAATAATTTAGACAAAACAAGCTTAGCAATCGAATAAATCGTACCTTCATCATTACATACATAACTATTGATATCTCCACAAACCAGGTGGATGAAATACTTCCTTGTTATTCTTGGGTTTGGTACAAAATTAAAGCATAGTCAATAGCAAAATAGTGTTTTTCTATTGACTATGATAAAAGTTATTGTCCGACACCCCTATGCGTTGTGCTTCCACTTCTTTCTTCTCCTGGATTATGAGCCCATAGTCTAGATTTGTTGAATAACGAACCTGCGAATTTAACCTTTGTATAACTAGACTATAACAGAAAAAAAGAAAGATCTTTTTCTGTCATCGAAATATTTTTCCAATGATTGAATTAATATTGGGATGATCAACTAGCAATCTGGTCTTCAAAAGTATGCGAGGCACACGCAGTGATACAGGGGCAGCTCCTGAAGGTGTTTTTCTTTGTTTCTACCTAGCATCCAAAAATAGTTTTTAGGACATTCAGAAGCTATGCTTATCGAGAAGTGGTTCGGTTCTTCCTCTCGATGTGACCAAACCTCGTGATTCCTCTGCCTAGAATTGCAGATAGATGGTGACTCCTTTCACTCAAGGTGAAAGTTTGGTCATGTCAGGTAATCTAACCCCGGACCCTTTGACCTGTAGACGCGACCTCAAATACTGAGCCAACCTTGCACCATTGCTTGGAGGACGTAAACCAAACGAAAACATAATAATAAAACTACTTTGTGTTGCGAAAATAAGATGGAAAAGAAATCTTGGGCGATATATAGTACTGTATACAGCAATGTCATGAATACAGAATAAGCGGTGCGATCTCACTGTTGTGAACTGCAGAGACAAAGTTATTTGGTTGGAAAGATATCGCTAACCTAACTGTCTTTTTGAATACGGTCTTTGCATGAAATCAGTACATTGTACATTCAGTAGCGGCGCTAGGGGGGGGGGGACACCCCAGTTCTCAGCAGAATCGATTTTGTATTTCGTCTAAATTCGATGAGAAAATGTTGGGAGATGGGTAATATTCTGATACCGTACTTTTTGTGACGTAATCCTATGATGTTCAAACTGCCAATTTTCAAACAAACGTTAGTCATAGACGTTCTCTTCGGATAAAATTGGCATTCTCTGTTGGTAAAAGGGCGTTTTCTGGTGGGTAAAAGGGCGTGGCTTAAATTTTTTTGGTTTGTCCCTTCAGGGTTTAGTGGCTGGCGCCGCCATTGTGTACATTCAATTGCCGGGCAGAGCAGTGAAATCTGGATTTAACTTGAGCTAAGGCCAAGTGGCTAGCGGTTAAGGCTTGAGTACCGTAAGGTCTGTCTGGGTATTACAAATGCATGTCCCGCTATATTATCTAATATAACGAATCCTTTCCGTTGTCGGTGCATGCTTGTTCAGACATACTCAAGGCTTTGGGATTTAGCGCCATAGGTTACTACCAGTTGCTGCACATTGATTATCCAGATTCAGAGAAATGCAAGAACAGATAGTAGGCTTGTATAACAAAGTTTGTAGAAGAGAAACATTCAATGATTAATTTTCCATTTTTTGTTAAAATTAGTCAACAACTTTGGCTGATGCATTGCGATCGCCTACGTCAATAACAGCTACAGCAACAAGAACAGTATTATGTCGAGTAGCAACATTCACTGTCATGCTAGGATCTAAGAACATACCCGAAGTGAAGGAATTTCTTCAACCGTCAAATATTTTATGATATTACTTATATGAAGCTGATGATACTGCTCACAGGAAGCAGAATCAACATTTTACGAGTCTAAGGGCTTTTCACAGTGATTAAGGCAAACCTTTCTCACGGTAACAAATTTCTTTACGCTACACCAGAGATCTAGAAGCATTGGCCTAAGGCCTAAAAAGTGTGGTCTCCCCAATCATCCCACCCAAGATTAGAAAAATTTATCTTAAAAACTCTAATGGCTTTCCATATTTTTTTCTCAACACTTCTATTAACTGCATTTTTTAAGAAAATAAAAAACCCTGTTTAGCATTATGGTCTTTCAGAACCTTCTTCAGAATCTTATCTTCTCGCAAAAACAGCTAGCGACTAAGGGAAATTGTTGGAAACGACCAATTCTACTGGTAAACAAACAAAAAGCGTACTCATATCACAATAACTCAATCGGTAGATTTTAGGCCTAAGATCGATAAAAACCCTTTTTGGCATCTCCGATGCTGCAAGCTATTAATAAAACCAATATTAGAAAAGACACAGGTTGTAACTATCGACCAAGTTGTAGGCTTAATGGCGACAGTAAACACTCACAGATAGAACAGTTTATAGCAATGTAATTAAAATGAAAAATATCAAAACATCCTTTTTCAGTGTAGATGTAAAGTAGTCTCAGTATAAATTAACAAAAAGCTGTTTGTTTTGTTTTTTATTGTAGAAATATGATGTGACGTTTTCAGATGTGGCGAATACCGGCAAAGGAAACAGAGTGCAACATTTCAATCAAATATATTGCCTAAAGTTGCCTAAGTTATACGAGATTAGGAGTAGAGAGCACAACAAACGATATCTTAAGTCGAAAATCCTCTTTGCAAGTGTCAAAAAATGGATTGGCAGCCAAATATCAACGAAGTAAATCCGAAGAAGTATTTGCCTGGAAAAAGAGCTGTGAATTTTCAAGGAAAAAGGACACCAAGATTTCTTTTCACCTCCAAAGCTTAGACTATGAAATATAACTCAGGTTTAGAGTACCCCCAAGCATCTTCCTCAACGTGCACGTCTAGCACTCGAGACAACTACACGATCCATAGCCTATTAAACCTGTTATTTCAAAAGAAGTCCAAAAGATCCCCTTGTTTTCGATATCAATTTACAGTTTGACTTGAAAATGCTGTTGCACTTTGTAATGAATTCCTGACGGCAGCAATTTACATAGAGGGGATTACCTTTCCCGTCTAAAACTGGTCTTACCCTTTCATCATGAAGATTTGACGAAATAAAACTGTAACGGGAAATTAGGGTCTAAAGTGCGATATATCTCCGCATCAGTCTCCAGTCTCCGCATCAACTTGGTCTTAAACTTATTTCTCGTTACCCTAGTCAACATATTAGACTCAAATTTTCAGTCTCATTACATTTAAAGGAAGAATTTTAAGGTTCAAAGTTTCTAACAGAACAGCACTCTGTTTCAATCTATTTCTCAAATAGACTGATGCACTACTAGAAGACAAAAAACATTCAGAGGGAAAAGTTTACTTAAGTTCCTTTTTGATTCGCTTCTTCATTTTCGTACAACTGCCAACAAGTTTGATTTAATGATATAACATTTTGATGACACCTTCTATAAAAATTAAACCTAACACAGACCTATCTATCATAAATTTATACATATATATTGCAATTGAAAACGAATGGAAAACAGAAAATAATGACTACCTTTCTTTTGCTGTTGCAGTCTTTTCGTATTTGCTTTACAGTCGTTCACCAGATGCTTTTTCCAGCCCTAAAACCACATCACGCATGTCAATTAAGACTGAAGATTGTATTTTGTGTTTGTTTCTACCTAGCATCGGGAAGTAGCTCTTTGGACACTGCAAAGTTGAACATACAGAGCAGAATCTTGGTCCTACAAATGCTAGATGAATTCTATTAGAGATAAATCCAGTTGGAAGTAAACAATGTGACGGTGAGGAACTACAGTGTTTCATATAGGTCATAATTTTTAATTGTAATCATAACTCTAGTAGCAAATCTTGGATAAAAATGCTTTTAATCTCTTCAACATGGTTTCATTTATCAGAGACGGAGTGCGACAACCACACATTTTGAAAGAAATAAATTGTAAATAACATATGCGTTTTACCTCTTCACCGTCAGCAACTTTTTCTTTGCAAAGTGGACATCTGTTAAAGGGTTTGTCTCCTCGTGTTGCTACAAAGATAAAAACAAGTTACATCTTCAAAATAGATATTATCATACACACTGCTATTAAGATAACGTGTTCCTGCCACCTGCCGTTCAGAATTTCGCAGAATCTCGCAGAATCTCGCAGAATTTCGCAGAAAATCTTTAGCAGAATATATTTAGCAGAATTTTGGTGAGCAACGGCTAAAATTCCCTGAGTTTTTCCTTACATTTTTCCAAATTAAGATGAAAATTGAAAACTAATATAGCATTCAAGAGCATGATGAATGATGCATCTCAAATAGATTCACTTTGCCCATACAAAACAAAATTCTATCTTTCAGAAATTGCAACTTTAATAGTCATATTTTCTTAAAACCTCAAAACTATCTGAGTGTAATTTGGCTTTGCCTGAATCAAGATTAAAAAGGCACAATTTTTCTTGACAAATAAGACTTCGAAGAAGGCAACACGTGCCAATAGGCGCTCCGCATTCATTTGCTTTGCAAACGAGAAACAACGTAGAATTTAAGAAATTGTGGTTTGTTTTGATAAGTTTAAAAATATTAAAAAAACCCAATTTCCAGGTTCTTCCCTGACTTTTACTTCAATCATTTTCCAGGTTCTCAAGGTTTAAAGACTCTGTACGAGCACTGTATAGTCATTGACTGCCTAAATATCACCATTCCTGTCGAATGTCAGACATTATGGGTCTTGTCTTTGATTAAACAGTATAGATTTCTGTTCATTACGAAACTTGCCCTATATTGCCACTTGACGCAGGTGCACACTTTTCAGTATAGTCAAGCCTTTTGTCTAACACTTTTCAGAGTATCAAACGTTAGAATGATGATCGAAAAGTTTAAGCCTCGAATTATGTTTGCTAATTTAAAGCCATTTTAAAATTGTGTAGCATCAAAAAATCATTGATGCAATTAGTAAATTTCTGACTGAAAAGTTCAAGAGTAATTGTGTAAGAATTTTATAGAAACTATCAGGGTCTTTTACAAAATGGTAGCATTTTCAAAAAATGAGTTGAGGTCTTTGACGATTTGGGAAATGAAAAAAAATTATATAGCTTTTGAATGATATCCAGTCTAGTCCTTATGTAGTGAGGTCGGATGGACAAACCTGAACACAAGAAAAGCTAGTTGATAAAAATGTTTTTGTACTTTTGATTAGTAATAGCAAATGGAAAAGACTTTTTCTACTAAGAATACTCTAATTAATAATAATGGAGTAATAATGGGCTGTGATTGTCATAGCTGCAGTTTATTCTGTCCATCAAACATTCTAACTCCAAAGAAAAGTAATTCGGTCAAAAGAATGAAGATTCCAAAGAAACAAGTAACAGCAATATAGGGACACATTTACCTGGACATGCCTTGGCTTTCACGTGACTATCTAGCTGTGGCTTTGCAATGGCTTCTTGGCAACGTGGACACTTCTTGAAATCAGCCTTTCTTTCGCATTCGGTTAACAGATGTTCGTTTAGATTGCAGATCTCAATCACCTATAATGTATGATTGTACGAGTGAAGACGCAATTAACATGAACAAAGATAGCACAGTGATCTGATGTTTTATCGCCCATATAAGATTATGAATGACCGAACATATGACTTAGAGGTTTTTTCGTTAAGCGATCAAAGCAACTTCACACAATATAGAACTTGAAATTTTCACATTTCTTCAAAAAAAAGGTTTAAGGCAATGTTTAACCCGTGAACAGCCAAAAAACTGAAGTTCTTCATATTTTAACGGATTTATAAAATACCCTATAAAATACCATGCAACAAACGAGATGTTACCTGAATTTTTTACTTATTTTTTATTCAATAGTAGAGCACAAAAATGGAGAGCAATAAACAGAAAAAGACATTGTTTCAAGATGTCTTTATGGTTGAGTCCTTTATAAAACAAAGCGTTCAACGATCAGTAGTAATCCATTCTCTTCTCATGAAGCGGAAGTTTCATCTGTAGAATAAAATTTAAGAAGTTCCTTCCTATCATATCAATCTCTATCTTTCACAACTCTGACTGTGAAATACTGACGCACATTTGCCCCTACAATGCCTGCCAAAAGTCTTGGAACACTGACGTCAATTTCCAAAGTCAAAATCAATCATCCCCTTCTCCCTTACAGAACAATGTTGGTTTACTATCAAACGGGTTAGGATTTTAGGAAGCACTTTCTTTTGCGCTTCTTTTATGATATTTCTCTAAATTATCAACATTGTTTTAGGGGGAAGGTGGAGGAAGCAGTAATTTTTTCTTAATGAAAGGAATGAAAGATATCAAATGAAGCGTAAATTGCTGGGTGTTCCAAGTACTTTTGGCAGACATTGTACCTGTTCAATATAAAATGCGTAGAACAAAAAACCTTACTTGACTACAGTTGTTGCACTTCTTAAGCATTGGACAACTTTTCGCATAATGACCATCTAGTGTTTCTTGGCTCAGTTTCTCGTTAAAATCACCACAAAAGATGCAAATGCTAAGAAATAAAAATGCAGACAGTAATACATGCAAATGTATTCGCAGATTATGAAAACGAGTACTGCAAAAATCCTTTAATAAAAGAGGAGAAGAATTTAATATCACAACCAATACTTTGAAACATGTGTTAATAACATGACTGGGGATACCTGAAAATTTTCATGGAAAAAAAATCGAAATTGTTCAAATAAAATAATTTTATATCGAAAAATTTAACATCACCGTACCATGAAAGTTACCCATTCATAGAATGAAAGAATCATAGAATAAATCATTCATCCGAAGAATCACCTTCCTTAATAAAAATATTTTTGTTTGTTTATTTTTTAATTCAAATTTGTAATGCTCTGCCACCAATTCAAAGGATATTTCGTCTTGCTCATAAAAAAGAGATTTGGAAACGGAAGCAAGATAGTAATAGAGTTATGCAGAACCTTCTGTGTGCTTTGATGGAGAGAGAACTATTCAAATAAAGCTATTTTATCAACTAAGCGAAAATCAAGGTTGATAAATATACAGTAACCCTATTATGAGGAAACATAGCCTCAAGAGCCTGTGAGGGCTATGGCTTAGTTTGGTCAGCGAAGGGCAACGCAAAGAAGATTTTTCGTTTTTGTACATCGCTATCAAGTAAGAAAATGATGTCAATTAAATGAGAATTGAGTTTATAAATATACATACTGATCGATATTATCAGAATCTTGAGATAAAAGATCTGTAAACAAACAAAAGTAAAAGGTTACTAAATATACATAAAAACATAGGTATCCTGTCGCTGTGTACGAAGAATGCCGGTACTCTTTTGATGCTTTGTAGGTAGTTTCATAGCATCTGCTACACCCATGGGTAGTTCTACTTCATAAACTTGAGTCGCTTTTTGGAATGGAAACCGTTATAAAGCTTTCAATATTAACTGATGCGATGATCTTCGAACCTTTCACCTACAGCATCTGAGGGCAGAAACGCTGAGCCGCGAAATTTAGTTGTTTGTTGCGACAAAGATAGTTATTCTTTGCTTACTTGCTTTTTGGATTTGAAATTGCTTTAATTGGAAATTGTGGTGTTATTACGTTGCTAAATATTAATTTAGGTGACACGATTTGTAAGATCTTTTCAGTCGCGAAGTGCACAGCTCCATGCACGTTGGAGTGCTAGAGGACGTGCTGAGGTATCTTCATGGTAGGAGCACAGGGCTCTGATATGCGAAGAATAACAATGGCAAAATTGACAATAGCAATGCACTTTTACCAATCAAAACTTTTATTGCCACTATATCCGTTTCTTAAATCACGTCATGCCACAAAGGATTGATTGTTTTCACGAAAAGCCGTGCCAACTTCCCTTCTGGCAATAATACAATGCTTCTTTGCATCGTTGACTTCGTAATGACCCTAATTACAGGAAAACGAGCATGCCTTGCATAGCAAAAAAGTTACGGAAAGCGTCTCTATATATATATATAGGTATATGTATGCGTTCCCCGCGACCCACTACATAGTGTACTCAATTCTTCGTACACAAAAAGTAATAAAATAGATTTGAAGCTTTTTCATTTTTGAGTAGAATAGGCACTGACGATAACACTTGTGGGATTCTAACTGACAATTGAATGTTTTGCCATCATTGTTTCATAATAAAAACTGCCGAGGGCGCTGAAGTTCAAAGCCCAAAGAAATATCTAAATAAAATGTGTGATATTTAAGATCGTAAACCTAACAAATTCTTATTTTGTCTATGTAAAGCTATGTGTTTTTAAGAAAATATATCTTAAATTGAAAATAAATTTTGATAAGCAACAGTCGAATGAAAACCCTTTGCGTTTTCATTTGCATTGAAACTCGAGATTGACTTGCAAAAATTCTCAAAAATACTTATACGACTTTTCTTTGTGCCGTTCTTGGGAAATAACCCCCCCCCCCTTTCCGAAATATCAATACACTTGAAAAATACACTTTAATATCGTTGCGATCGATATGTGTGTAATGAAACTCACCTTTTGAAAGCGTTTTTACAATCAAAAGGCCCAATCATTTCAAGTTCTTTTGCAGTTCGCGTGAGCTAGCTGAATTTTTCTGTCAGATAGCACAAACAGTGGACTGCCTTAATGTTAACCAGGGTAAGAAGATATGACAATGATATCGATTCAGCTTATATTTTTAAAGACCACTTTCACGCAAGAAACGTCCGGATATGAATGTGATACTATCAAAAACTCGATGGAAACCATAAAAATGCTTTACTATATTCTGTTTTCTCAACCTCCTGAAAGTGATCACATTTAAAATAGCTTAGGCCTGCTTATAGACAAACCTCCAGTGACTGTGGTGTCATTAGGTCTTTCTCCTTTCTGTAGAAAAAGAAAATTATCTGTTACGAAATTCAAAGCCTTGAAAACCAAGCAAAATGTTTGATTATTTTCAAATAACGATAGTTTTAAAAAGCCATTAAGCAGGGAGAGTGTCAGTAGCAAAAGTGATGAGTTATTTTCAACAAAAGGCCTAAGATATCAAAATAACAGGTAGATAGATATCTGAAGAAGATTCCGACGATTACATGGAAATTTTTTCCACTCAACAAAACTTAGGGTGGTCATGGGTAATGTCGGACGCTGGGCAATCACGGACAAATCTACTTGAGAATATACTTTTGAAACTGTCATGAGCATTAAATACAAAGATTTTTTAAGCATATTTGGGTACCTTTTTTGGGCCCATTTATTGTGCGTGCTGATGAATAAATGTGTTTGAATGCATGTCGGTGAAATGAGTGGGCCTAAATTCCCTCGATCTTCTCAGGAAATGCTCCATTTTTTTGCTTTGACTTCATACAATCATTGATTGAATGATTGAGAAATATATTTTGATTTAATAACTCCATAACATAGATATCCTCATCACATGGCACGATTTTGAGATTCCCCAAAATTCCTGGATGAAGTCAAAGTGCACTTACGTTCGAAAAGTATTGCACCACTTCGACGAACGAGTAATGGCGATGGAGTTGTAAACAATATGACCTTAGAAATTCAAACCACTTTTGTTAAGCCATCAGACGTCAGTTTGAAGTCCCAATCAATCAAGCATTACTTGAAAACATCAGCAGCATTTCAAGTTCAAATTTTGAGAAAAATTCATTTTTAGAAAATCCAAATTTTGTATTGGCCAGTCTCAAAGCTTTCAAACCCTTGTACGACTTGCTAAATTTTATCAAAAACTTTTTGAGGCCGGCTGTTTTATATGTCACATGTTGTTTTTAAAAAGACATTCGCAAGATCAGATTGAGGTGTCTGAGATCACAGATGATCGTTACTAGCCCCCAATTTTGGCAGAAAGTGACACTTTTACGGCCGTTTTTTAATGAAGACTCTTTCAATGCCATTGAGACACTTGCATGTCTCTGTTTGCGACTGTCAATCCCCTGTCAATCGCAGAAAGTTTAGTACTTCCATTCAACGAGAAGATGAAATGTTGCTTTGAGCAAGTTACAGCATTATTTGTTCTCTAAACAACGTCACATGGAGTGGAATGGAGTGGAAAATATGAAATTAAAGACTAGTCACATTGTTTTATCGCGATAATCTTTTTGTATGATGCTACGAAATGGTCTTCGAAATTAGGCCCGTTGCAGTGCGAGAAGTGTGCGACCAAGACTTTTGAAAAAATCTTTATTATCAGTCAGGAAAGGAAACAGTTTTTGACACCCAAGCAGAATTGTGCTTACAACACATTTTTTATTGCAATTTTTTTACAGGTACTCCTATCATCCTATCTTGCTTTTCGTGATTTTGCAGTGGTCGGAAATAAGAAAATATCAAGCGTATTTTCTTGTTTTTCATTTTCATAGCTAAAAGGCTGTGTGGCGGGTGGTGCAATACTTTTCGAACGTAAGTGTATATTGCACGTGCGCGTGGGCAATGCAGGACAGCTAATGGGATGATTCCTTGAAAAATGGCGTGGCCAGAAAATGAAAATGACAAATCGAATGGAATAAATGGAAGAAAAAACGTACACTTTTAGTTTCATCAGCTGCTTCTTTAAGGGCTCTCAGCTCCTTTAGTTGCGCTTGTAAGGCTGCAATCTAAAAAGAAATTCTTACATTACATTAACCAAAACATTAGAAATAATTATATCTAAACGGAGCGTGTATTATCATATGAAAATTGCCTGCTGGCTTTGTGCACAAGAACGAGACGTTACGCACTAACATGTTCTTAGACTTCGTATTATTTAAGTAACTGATTCTATTAATTGCAAAACACGAGCGTCCTCTCAATATAGGACAAAAATAAACGTTTTTTGAAAATTTCCTTAACGCAATAACGAATACAGTATGATTTTTGAGCACCGAATACAGTATGATTTTTGAGCACCGAATACAGTATGATTTTTGAGCACCGAATACAGTATGATTTTTGAGCACCAAAGACAGTATGATTTTTGAGCACCGAATACTGTACGATTTTTGAGCACCGAATACAGTATGATTTTTGAGCACCGAATACAGTATGATTTTTGAGCACCGAATACTGTACGATTTTTGAGCACCTAATACAGTACGATTTTTGAGCACCGAATACAGTACGATTTTTGAGCACCGAATACAGTATGATTTTTGAGCACCGAATACAGTATGATTTTTGAGCACCGAATACAGTATGATTTTTGAGCACCGAATACAGTATGATTTTTGAGCACCGAATACAGTATGATTTTTGAGCACCGAATACTGTACGATTTTTGAGCACCGAATACAGTACGATTTTTGAGCACCGAATACAGTATGATTTTTGAGCACCGAATACAGTATGATTTTTGAGCACCGAATACTGTACGATTTTTGAGCACCGAATACAGTACGATTTTTGAACACCTAATACAGTTTGGTTTTTGAGCACCGAATAAAGTAGGACTTTAGCTTTGGATCGTCAGCAACAAAAAACTCCAAACGTTTGATTTCCAAAAATGTCTCTCACAATAATAATCGTGTGCCTTTTCTGCTGCAAAAATAATTATATTTCAGGTTAACGATAAAAGATGATAGCTTTTGATTAGCCTATTAGCAGATTTTTAAGAAGAGATTGCTAGAAATTCATAAAATTTTTCTCTAATTGTTCTTAGAAAGTCCTTAACCATGACACATTTGCAACTAAAAAAACAAAAAAATTACACAACCTGTTTCAATCTATGATCATAAATTAAAGTATACTTTGTCATAGATTATGGTGCACATAAATTAGTGCTATCCAAGCTTACTCTCTATCATTGTATCATCCATATAACCTAGACTTACTCCACGAGCCTCTGTTTCACTACTGCCTCACTTGACCACAGTGACTTGGCGGAGCGTCCGTAAACGTCTAAATATATCCTGAAGTGATATAATGGCAACAGAACAGTGGACTTCGCTTGATGGGCATCTTGCTGTAGTTGCCATGTTTACATTCGATTTTGCGTGATGCATAACTTTCGTTTTTGATCATTAAAAATCCAGTGAAAACGCGTACATAGCGATCCAATTTCTTTGCTTATTCAACATATGCTGCGTTTGAGAATCACCGCGATATTGCATAAGCATAAAGAGGTTTGTTGGTTGCCATGCAGCATCATCCTGAACACGAGCGTATATGTATATGCATAAAGACAGATGGCAATGCAACGCTCTTTGTTGGCCTGTTACCTTGGGACGACTACAAAAATATTCCAATCCTGACGATGCAAAAAAGCTACAAAAGCATTGAGCTTTCAAATTAAGCCATATTTAAATGTACAGTGAACTGTGTCATTCTTGATCGCTTTCGAATATTCTTGTCTTCAGGGCGCCCAGTCCACCGGTAGATGCGGTTCACAAGTCAATTCTTTTGTGGAGATGACAATTACAGCACTGGGTTCGGGCAGGTTCGCAAAATAATTCCTGATTCAGGTGATTTCAATGACAAAATCAAATACTCTTTCTGATAACAACACACTTAATAAAAACCTTAAAGCTTGATTTACCAAAAAATCAAAAACAAGATGAGCACACCCCGGTTTACGATGAGAAATCAAAAAAAATTTTTTTAAATTTCCTTTCATATTAACAAAACAGAGCAGACTTTATCAGCAATTCGACTGAGCTGCTAAAACTTCATGCAAAACTGTTTCTTAGTGATCTTAGAAACAAATGATAGTCATTTTTTAGAGAAGGAATAAGGAACAGCTGATGAATGTGTGATTTGCATCACAAAGCAAGCTATGTGTAAATGCAATTATGACACGAAGATACCTGCTTCGGAAAACATATTTTTTGTAACGAATTGATGTGAAACGAGCAGTCACGCATATTACCTCTTGCTTTTTGACTTTCTCCGTTTCTTCTTTCTCCTGTTTTGCCTGCAACTACAGAAAATCACATGTTTAAGATTCACCAAAAATCGCTTAGCATCTTTATCGCATCATTTGAACCTAGCTACACATCTTTTTATAGAAGACTATAGTCTAAAAGAATATTAAGGCTCAAAATCGCTGAAATTTAAGAACAATTTAAGAATTATGCAAGGCTCAAGTTTCAAGCGAAGCAAATGCGAGTTTCATTCCATATGTTTTGAAAATAACGTATCCGCCATTGAAGTCAACATTATAATGCGACTCGGTTACACCTTGTATCGCTGAAGAATAATTTAATAATAGCCTTAAGCGCAAAATCTTAAAAATTTGAGAATATTGAAGCTCAGCAAAATATTAGGTATTCTTTTAAAAAAATGTATAGAACAGATGTCACGTATTTGATACAGAATCCCTACTGAGAACGCGAGGAAACTGCACGAATCGGTGAAAGAGGCTGTAAGCCGATGGCCATGGGCCACGCTGCATTCGATGTCCATACGCAGTTATAGAACAACAATACAAGCACCACAGTCACATGTTTGGAATTTAAAGGCAACGAGCCGGTAGAATACACGCTGATTGTGATTGTCCGGAACCAAAAAACACGGATACAGATGCTCTGTTGAGTAGCTGCTTATAATGGGCCCTTCTGCCTATAAAAGTTTTTTCTCAGAATCGCGGATATTTTGCCATGTGTGGGTGGTTTTTTGGTAAATATTCAAACTTGTCGGCAAATGAAGGTTTTCTCACTCATTTTGTTGGCAAATGTCAGCCTGAACTTAAATTTACTGGTTCTTATTGATATTAAAAGAGTGTAAGTATAAAACCGGTAGTCAACTATGGTTTGAGGCGATATTTTACTGCTTTGTCATACAAACACAAAACTATTTTCTCACTGTATTCTCTTGCACAAGAACTTTATAAGAGCCCGGAGGCCAGATTTGAAAAAGAAAATAATAACACAGCGAGAACATGTCCAGCTTCAGATGACAAATTACAACAACAGCAACGTGTTTCTGAAAATTGTCTCTCGTATTGAAAAAAACAGAGCGGATTTTATCAGCAAATGAGCTGTGCTGCTAAATGTCATCCATGACTTTTATTTAGTTGTTTTAAAACAATTTAGAGTAGGTAGTTAGAAAAATTAATTTAGAAAAATCAATGTTGAAATGAGTACAACATTAAGAGCATCGAGCATCAGCAAAATTTTCTTATTTTTACAAAATGAGTGTATTATACTATGATATTCATTATTCTATTTTCAAACCTTCAATAAGAATAATTTAAACATTCCAATTTCTCTAATGGAAAATATCTGTATAACTAATTAAAATTTATAATTTTGGAATTTTGTGACTTATTAGCTTGTAACTTGAGCTTTTTAATAATCGGTCTCGCCTTGAAAACTACAAACGACTAAACATTTCACTAAACATTTTACTCAACTTTTGTTTAGTCAAGCTGAACGAAGTTTAGCGAGGGTGGCAAAACGTGACTAAATTTTTCAATAAACTTTGCTCAACATTTTTGGAACTGCGACCTGTGTAGAGCGCTGTAGGGTTGTAGGGGTTCTTGCATAGGAATTTTGATTTCTGTTTGTTTTGAAAAATTTAGCAAATGACAGCCTAAGGTTTGTTTTGCAAATGACAGTCTAGTAGTTCATTTCAATTTGTCTCTTCTGTTGCAGTTACAGCGGCATTGACGTTGTGTCTCGCTAACCAGATACTATGTACTTAACCCTCGTTTTCTTTGGGACGGGCTCGGAAAGCGTGGCTTCTACCGCTGGAGACTGAGAAGAAACTTGTTCGGGAGTTGAATCATGCCCGTCTTCCAGACATGCAGTAGCCCCCGTTTCGGGGTCATTGCACATGCGCATTATTACTTCAAGCCCTGGCGGGAAGTTCAAGAGTTGTGTGGTCGCAGACAGAACAGCTGTGCGAACACTGTTATTAATGCGCATGTGCTATGATCCCGCAACACTGATTGGTTTAAGACGGTATTGTTTCGAAACAAAGGACTGATAGTTTCGTCTCCCGAACAAAACATGTCGCTTTAATGCGATAAATATGCGTTCTTATGATGGTAGACAAGGAAAGCAAGGTTTATATGGGTTTATATATCACTTTCAATTGGTTTATGATTCGTTTTCAGCTATAAAAGGCGGATATTATGTAACGAAATTTCGCAAATTACAATAAGCCCTCCTGCGATCTCATCCCCAGCAAGCCACTGACAACCAGATGTCTCACGAAGGCATTTTAGAAATTTTGGGTCACAAGGAGACAGGAAAAATGACGAAAACCTCTGGATTTCCACAGCTACGACGACTGCACTAGCAAAACAAATGTAAAATTGGTGGCAAAACGACTAAACATTCGCTTAACAACACTAAACAACATTAAACATTTTTGACCAGAATCAAACTTTGCTCAACAACACTCAACACGACTAAACAACACTGAACAGGGTGACAAAACGAACCAACTTTCCACTAAACTTGTCACCAAACAAAAGTTGACTGAAATGCTTAGTGAAATGTTTAGTCTTTTTTGCCAGGGCTTTGGAATGGGGGCGCACCACCCAAGTATCCATGGCAGATTTACAAGATTAAAGATTCCAATTGGCATTAATTTGGAGGTGATTAGAAGAATAAGTAGCAGACAAAAAAGATCCGACGATAAGAGTCAAACAACATTAGTCAGACAACAAAAATCAGACAAGCCAGCACTGATAATGCTAGATCTGGCAACACGCAAGTGAAAAAAACATGGTGAGGTCGTGTCTACAGACAGGCAAGCTTAGAACATAGAATCATTTAAAATAGATGGAAAAAATGCATAGAAAATTGTTGAAGAATCTTCGTTGATAGAAACATTTAGTAAGAAAAGCAGAGCTATAGATTATCATAAGATTTTTTTTCAAAGTTTTCATTTATATTTAGAAGAAGGACAATTAATATGAATTTTCTTTCCTAGATGCCATTTTTCTAGTTGCAGTTTCGGTTATTCCCTGCAGTATTTCTTCCAAACTAGCTGTACCCTAGAGACAGGTTACAAAAGATTCCGGTGTAGCAAATATTGTAAAGGTGTAGCAAATTTATTCCAATGGGATTTCTCCATAAATGAAATCAACAAAAAACAATGACTTCAATCTTAATCTGTAACATGGCGCATTAAAACGGTAATTTATTTTTCTGATGAAACAAATTTTTCCACAAATTTTGGTACGGCAAATTAACCTAAGAGCAAAACAGTTTAAACCTTAAAATAATCCATATTGAAACATTTCAAACAAGAGGTGTATTTTCAGAGGTCAGGTTTTCTTCTCTTACATGCCGTTATCGTGACATTAATTAAAGACAGGTCTAACTAAATTGAAACAGATAAATTGAGGTATTCCCTTAATTTACGTAAATTAATTTACGTAAATTAAGAGACGTAAAATACGTAATTACGTAAATTAATTTACGTAAATTAAGAGAATACCTCAATTTACGTCATGCTACTGGAAAAATACCAGGAACAATTCACGAAAACAAAGAGAAAAATTGCATTAATCGAGAAGCAATTTGGAAGTACAAGACAGCAGACAAGACACAGACGATAACACGGCGGACAACAACATCTCTGACCAGGATAGCAGGCTAAAATCTTTGACCCAGACTCAATTACAATTTTCTATAGAGAAACAAACTCATAGGGTGAAACATGAAGTTTTGCGTCGTAAATATTCAGTTTTTTACAGCCAAAACAAGCTGACTCGATTGTAATTTTCTGAAAAAAATCTTTAGAAAAAGCAAAATGACACGAAATTGCTTTGCTGCTGATTTTTCATCTACCAAAGAATTGCCAACACGGCTAGTTTTTGTAAGCCTGTTGCAAGCTTATAAACGGTTTTGGATATGCATGACTTTAAATAGAATAAAGGATGTAAACAGATAGAAAATAAGGTGGAATGAGGGTGAAATAACATCAACGTTATATCATATATTAGACCTTCAATTATGTCCATAATAACATTGATATAATAAAGTTGTTCAAAGCAATAATCATTGATATATTCAACAAATAACATTGATATTTCATTATTCTTAATAGGCATTTTACTCTCTTTTTCATTTAAAAATATCCCAGGCTGTACCATAAGCAAATGATATCAAATCTAGCCTATACTTTGGAGGATACTGTTATTTATCCTGAATAAACATCATTTTGGACTAGGATTTGAATGAACAAATCCAAAAGGGTGTAATGGATTGGCTTGGAGGATTATAGAATCATCAAGTAGATGGCATGAGAACAAAATAGAGCAGAATAGGCTGAAAATAAATTTCAGTTTGTGTCCCCTAGAATGCAAAATCAGAAATATGCATAAGATACCATATCCATGTTCTTTATCCACAAAGATTCACAAATATATACGTATAGTAAACAAACCTTTTGTTCCGCTTTGGTTGGTTTTCCATCAATCTTATCAAGGCCGTCGAATATTCTGCTGTACAAAGGATTTTTTCTTGTTGATGGTTCATCTGGAGGCAAATATGCTCTTACAGCATTTCCAACCTATAAAATAAGATCATAGCTTACAAAGATGCACGAATGATAAAACATGGTAAAAAGAGAAGCTGTTTCAAGATGGAATGGGTAAAATTAAAAGGATATTGAGATTTTTATTTCAAGATAGGTTTACAGTCGTTAACTTAGCTGCCCGGATTCCATAGAATAAATCTTTCATCGCAAGGAGCTCTATACAAACGAGCATGACAATGTTTCGTGATATCAGAGGTAGCACGGGGAAGATATAGGGAGAGGGAGTGTTATGAATACAGCTGAAAAAAGGGGAAAACATGACAAATCCTGTAGTAGCAGGCTTAACTTTGCTAAGAAATATAAGATTTTGTTTAACCAAACATTTAAAAGCAAGCACGATAAAAAAGGAACATGCAGTGAAAGTCAAAAAAGATAAATATTAAGAAACAAAGAGAGGAAAAGAGAAAAGGAGAGAAGAAGAGAGATAAAGCCATATTTTCTAAGTACCTATGAAAGGATTCAAACACATGTATAGAAACTAAAACATTAAAATAAAATAAAACACCAACCTTTTTATACATGTCAAGGAGCAATGCAATTCCTGCTTCTCTAACCTCCTTATTACTATGCTCAATAGCCTTCTTGACAAACTAAAATGAATACAATTACTAATGAATTAAACTGAAAATTTAATGAAAATTTATGAAGAAAATAAAAAACCATATTTCTTCATTTTCGGCTTAATCTATAACATAACATGCTTGTGTAAGGTGAAATTTACCATTTCTTAAATAGATTTAAAAGCCTACGGACAGTACTGTTTTGATACCGCACAGGAGGATACCCATTTTCTCTATTAAACATTGGACTTGGTGAAGTTCTCAATTTTCGCATAATGATAAAATAAGAACGACGAGTCAAGTACTACATCGACTTCTGTGGTATTAGTTTTGGTCTTGGTGAAAATAAGGTCCCTTTTTGACAAATTTGATAGCAAAAAACGGTGTTAAGATTTTCATGAATCTTCGTAGAGTTTCGCAAAGCATTTTTTCACAGTGATGCCGTGTCCAGTAGTGAGAGCCAAAATTACACAAATTTTCCCAGTAGTTTGTGGCACTGGCGACTTCCACTGACCTCTGTTATTTTTTAAAAAACTTTTTCATGAAATTATCTTTATTTCTTGACTTTGTATTTTTTTTGCAATTTATAAATTAGATTTATATTATATCGCCTATTGTATCACGCTTTTTTGTCCGGTCCTGTGAAACAGGATAACGGCATATCTCATTATATCCAACTCAAATTAATCTTTTCTATTCACCCTACAACATCATAGTACAATGCTTTTATCAGAAACATTACATATAACTCTACAGCAAAGCTGTGCTCCTTTTATGTAGCCACAATACCCACATAACAAACTGGATCCTACCCTGGGTATCATAGCCACATAAATTTGTGAATGGAAATAGAAGATAAGGACAGGAAGCGGCGGAGCGTCTATTTAAGACGAAGGGTTAGCCCAGAGCCATTTTTCATTCTTCTCAGAAAGACACTCTTCAACCTGCCGTCCCTATCTTCTATCTCTAGGCTCGAATTTGGTACCCGGGGTAACTGGATCCCTGATCCTTTAACGGTTTAAGAACTTGTGACTGCCCAGTGCGAACCAGCTGAGGTTGGCATTACATTGTTTTTTCTTAATTTTTTTCCCTAGCTGTGCTTGTTTTTTCCTTGGTTTAAAAAAAAAACAGTTCACCGCAGCGTAGAGCCGTGTGCTTCTTTCGGTTATATCTCGTTGGGCCTTTTTGCGAATTTTCGCCAGCAGTGAAAATTTCTTAAAAATGCTCTGGAGTTTCGATAAAATGGTTGCTTGAGAATTTAGCCTTTTTAATAGTTCTTAAGTCCGTAAAAAAGAAATACAATTACGCACATTTTTTGTTCGTAGTTAGTTTGAATGTTTCAACTAAATTCAGCAAAGATTCTTCGTACTAAACCATCATTTAATTTGCCAAGACCGTCGACTAAACAACTATTAATGACAGGGAAAACATTTCATTTATCTATTGCCATCTCAACTGATTTCTGATCAAGAACTCAGCTCATGGCGGGAACAGTGAACTAAAGTAATTTTTAGGGTTGATGTGGGAAGATTTGAGAGGGTTTACGGTGAAAGTCGTTATATTTTTGACTGCCAAAAGTGAAGCCTTTATAAAGCTTAAATGCGTTGTGTGAGGGTTAATGCTCCTTGTAGGTAGGTGTCGGTTGGTGAAGGGAGAGGGGGGGGGGGTACTCTTCGGAATGGCTACCCTTGGAAACGAATTTTAAGATTTTCGGGCTTGATGTTACCGTCAGTTGTTTAGAAACTACTGTTGTTGGGAGCTGTCTGTTAATAAAGAGTTCATTGTATAAATTAACACTGACTCGACATTAACACTGTAATTTCGTAGCTAACTATACCTGCATAACACCATCCGTTGTGAAAGACCTGAGGAAAAAAACAATAAACTACCAATCAGAAAGCATGATCTTAAACCCAATTTAGAGGAACGTCAAGGATACTACATGTAAGAAGGACCTTGAAGGAGCAGAAGACAGTGAAGTTATTTGACATTTACAACAAATTCAACCATCATACAGTAACATCCATTGCTTGATAGGCTTGGAATGAATTTCTCAACGTGCATCAATTTGTAAACTTCTTTTGAAATCGTTAATATAAAATGGGAGCTTAAATGAGATGAAAAGAAAAGTAGCAAGACACCAAAGCCATCTTGAGCTGCTTTATCGAGCACCATTACCACAAGATCAACATTGAAATTACGTGGAAAAAACAGCTTCCCTTGATATCAAATCAATTCAAATTCACAGACTTACCCTTGTTTATCAACATCTAATGGCTCTAAGAGATTGTGTATCACCTCAATTCGTCCTTTAAATAGCCGCCAGGGAACCTACAAAATTGTCTTTATTAATGCTCACAACGTTTGATGAATTTAGAAAAGGCAATTAGACTGCGTAAACCTCAGTAAAAATTACATGAAAAAGTTTAGAGAAAGGCAGACAAAAACCACCTCGTAAAAGGACAAGAAAAACTAACAAAATGTCGATATTAGGTAAAGATGGTGCTGAGACTGCAACTTAACCTCCTTTAACGTAACTATGCATCTCAAAAGTCAGGGTTAACGCTTTTAAATGAATTAGCAACAGCCTACTTTCACACTGAATAATCTAAAACGTCATATTCATAAGTTAAATCTACAAGTAAATTGAATTCAGACGCAAAAGTAAAACACATCGTGTATAAAAACAGAATATTAAATTGTTTATGTGCCTCAACACTCAGTGACGTAAAACTGGACTTAGGAGTCAATCAAATAAAAACGAGAAAACATCCATAATGAGCAAGCACATTTGATTTATTTGCATTACAAGCAAAGTCAGTTCTGTTTGCCCAATATGAAATCTGTAGGCCTCACATATATTGGTGTTATAAGCACAATCATTCACGCAAGAAAAAACTGAACCAAAATCTGTGTGAAAATATTCACCTGCCCCTTGCTTTTTAAAGGATGAACTAGCATTTCTGGAATGGTGCCAAGTGCCTAGAAATAAAACAAAAATTTTTACTTCCATCCCATTTCTCAAAGTTCTTCTGCACCGTACAGCATCAATACGACTTGAATTCAGGACACAATGCAGAACTCATCTCACCTTTGTTTACTTCAAAATTTCTTTCAGTCTTTAGTTCTCTTCTTCGAGATTTTTTATTCTCTTTTTCCAGTTGCATGAGAAGTATAAAAAAGACACATGCAGAAGATAAAATGGCCAGTTTTGATTTTGAATCACACAAAACTAGTAAACAAAACAAAATTACCTTGACTTCTTTTATGACTGCCGAATCTTGTATGAGTGAAACTGCGCTTTCTTTTGTTCTTGGGGCCTAAGATGGCAAAACAACGGGTATAATGGTGTGATAGGCATGTGTCCTTACAAAGAGATCTAAAGCAAATGCCAAAAACAAAGTATGGTTGAAAGCTCTGTAGACTAGATTGAGGCTCGTCAGAAACTTTATCAATCTTGAGTGTTAATGATTTTAAACAAGATGAAAAGAAACAAGCATATTTTCAGCATTTTACAAAATCTACTTTTCGTAGGCTGAATTTATTTGGCCCAAGGTACTTTTAGAAAAAATTATAATTTAGCAACTTGTGAAATCATCTCCAGGTATTCCATTTTATAATTATAATGCTTGATCTAACCATAGCCAAGCAAAAAAGGTCTTGTGTGTTTAATCGGGTTATTACTATTTTTAAAGACCTGTTAAAAAGAAAAGAAGAAAACAGGAAAAAGCATCAAAACTAGCGAAAATTTATTATAATAAGCTTTGTTAGAGGTTTTCTGGATTTTGGAACTTACCATGTCACCAACTCTTGTTAGTAGGACTGGAATTGTCTGAATGGTGAAAAATTGGAATATTTAAAGAACTTCAATTTTAGAAAATCGAAGAATATTGATAGATACAATCATAAACAGTTTTTTATTTCATAGTAAGAATCTAACAAACGAAGAATTAAAACAAACTTTTTCTTTGTATAAGGAAACTTTGTACGTTACCTTGTCAACTACAAATGCATATTCAGATTTCCCAAGTCTGAAAACAGAAAATAATTTATAAGATATTCGTGCTTAAAAGCTAAGATTCTACAAAATAGAACAGAGGCGTGCATAAAAACGATAATAATTTACAATAAAACCTAGCTTTCCAACGCAGCATAGATATGATAGTTAGGGGAGAAATATAATTTACAAATTTAGGAGCAAAGATAAGTATATCAATTTCAGACGTAAACTATCGAAGCTTGGTATGAAAATGTCACTTATTTTTTAACAGCCTTAATGTTTAAGTTCCTCAAGGGGGTCGTTGGCACAATAAAAAAGGAAGGAATTTAGTCCAAAAAGCACCTTGGGCTGAAAAAAAATTTGCTCGAGGAGGAGAAAAATACAATACAAGTATCATTACGGAAGCAAATTTTTATCAATTTTGTCTTAGTTCTAAGGTAAATATAACATTAGTTGAAGAAGATATCAAATTTCTTAGATTTCATATCATTAGATGGTAAATGATAATTTAAAATAACGATATACTTCCTGACAAAAGTTCTTCAAATCTCAATATTTTCCTCTTCAAATAAGTCCAAGACGTTTATGTGAACATAGACTGAGTTTCTTTTAGAGGAATCAAATGTCAAAATTCAAACCCTTCTACCAAAATATATATTCATAAAAATAAAAATCCCAAATCAATTGGAAATTCACTTGAACCTACTTTTTACGAGGAATATAATCTGCTAACAGCGTGCTTTCTACTTTGACAGCCTCTGTGAAAACCTAGGACAGAATCGAGAGCAGAGATGTGATTTAAACTGAGCAGAAACCGGAACATATATTTAGACATATAAATAACATGCAAGTGCTTTAAATAACATCTTTAGGTCTGTAAAAACTACCAGGTAACATATATCGACACTACACTAAATAATAAATAACATGATGATATTACATGAAAATAAATAAAATTCAAAGTTCACAAAAAGATATCAATATACAACAAAAAACGATACCACAAAGTAAAATATAAAAAAGAAACTATTACATAAAACATGAAATAGCATAGCTTTTACAAGGAGGAAAACCAAATACAGAAACTTATAACAAGAGTATAACACGACACAATAAGGAAGCAAAAGAAATAATATAACAGGATACCATACGATATATGTCTATAACGGGATCCATGGCAAAGTTCAAATACAAAATACAATACAATACAATACAATACAATACAATACAAAACAATACAATACAATACAATACAATACAATACAATACAAAACAATACAATACAATACAAAACAATACAATACAATACAATACAATAAGATTCAATAAATGTAAAAGCACAATGGACAAATAGCATGAAATACCAATACATTGTGATATAAAAATACATACGGTAACAACATTGTCTTGTAGCATCTTTTTCAATAACAACGTTGTTGCTCTAACGATAGCCTTTGGTTCACTTTCAAATATCAGCTTCCCATCATCTACCGAGATCTCCCCCATCACTTTCTCTAAAGCGTCCTGCCGATGCTTCCATATTTTTGAATATGCTAACTGAACCTAAGAATAAGCAAGTGAATTTATTGCATTTGGCAGAAAAACACTGACCCAAAGAAATTGATGGTTATAATAAAGATAGAACTATCTTTTGTCAAGTTGGCTTTGGTCGGGGTCAAAACCAAATCACCGCACGAGAGCCACATTGGCACAGAACAAACAGGCACAAATCAACATGATAATAGGAAATAGTGAACAGGTACACGTCAAAGAAGTTCATGGGTGGTTACAGACAAGGGTTGGGTTATTTGAACAGAATTAGGTTAAATCAATTTTGCTCTAGCCGTAGAACAAGGCGATACAGATTTGTAACCTTTAGTTGGCTGATAACCATATAAAATGTCGAAGTTGCATAACTTTGTATTCCTGTTTCACTATTTTTCTAAAACTGCCCTATCCCGCATATATGAACGGACGAATTTTTTAAAGTGCATAATCTACATCAAATTCAAGCGACAAAAAATCATATTTATTGATACTTACGAGGTAAAGACCATAAACATCAATTATTGGAGTAGCTTCAGATTCATCTCTTTCGCTGAGCTCCCCTGGTTTTTCTGAAGATGTTAGAAAACTCGTATATAGTTAATTCCATATAACTTAATAACCTCTGAAGACATTATATTGGGCATCGTGTTATATCAAATTTATGTTTATATTTACGCGGAACTTGCTGTTGTAGCTGTAATTTTTGTTAGATTATTGATGCAATACTTTAAGAGGCCACTTTTGCCTAGATTAATAGATAAATGAAAAAAATTGAAAAAACAAAAAAGCTAGCATGATAGGTAGCAAAATACAGCACAAAAACGTTTCCGCGAAAAGGCTTTAATCTAATAGTGGCGGGCTTCACTAAGCTCTATAGCCGCTTAACATATAGTATGTTTTTAGGAGTTGAGGCGAGAAACTATGAGCTTTGAGCTACGCAAAAGATAATGAAGATATTTCTATATTTAAGGTTTCCTTGCTTCACAGCTGAATACACAATGTTCGCATAGCTTATCAGTGATTTCAGTCAGATCTTAAAAGCCCGACTTAAATTAGATTTAAATTTCAAAAAATCCAAACAACATCTGGTTGAATCTCTCTATATATTATAATGTTTTTACAGTTCAATCTGAGCAAGCATCAATTCTTAGTACGCGTCAATTCAAATCTTCATGTTAAAATACGCTTAACTACCCTATGTAAACTCTGTGTTTAAGAATGGCAGTTAACAAGAAAGATGAAGAGCAACAACTAAGAGTGATAGAAAAAATAAACTAGAAAATAAATACCCTCATCGTGAGTGCCACTATTCCCTGAAAAAAAGAAATTGTTTTTAGGAAGCTTGGTACCTGTTTTGATTCTAAAAACCATGAATAAAACACACACACACGATTACAATTTGTTCTTAGAATTTTCTCAGTAGGAATTCTGAATTTGTAATCCTCAATGAGCCAATGACCGCGCTTGTGTATTTTTAATTATGTGTTTTAACCTCAATGTACCAAGTTACCTCAAAGTTATAACACTGGTCAACACAATTTTTGCGTCTAAGTTTTTTGAGCTGATTTTGCATATGTTTGATGTGCTGAATTCAAAAAATCATGTTTGTTTTGGCCCAATCAGGTAAATCCTACTGCAGCAGACATAAAGAATATCTCCTTTTTCTTCTCTGAAGAGAAGGACTTAGCGTATTACACTGACATAACACAGCCTCTGCAAAAACTAGGGGTTACAAATATCAGCCCAAAGAGTGGAGACTGATCATTGACAGTAGCAACGATCATTAAAATGTGTTTTGTTGTATAGTGACAACCATTTTGCTTGTGTCGCACTCAATCACACTAAAAGAGAGCCATGACGCTGTAAAGCATGTTCCGAGATGCTTCGGGTTGACGTTCGAGAAACTGAAAGCCGGGATCTTCTATGGTCCACAAATTTAGCAGCTCATCAGAGATCCCGAGTTTGAGAGCTCAATGTGTTAAGCGGAGCTTGAGGCCTGGCAAGCTTTTTTTGAGGTTGTGAAGAATTTTCTTGGAAACAACAAAGTCAGAAACTACAAAGAACTTGTCAACAAAATGCTCATTGCTTATAAAAACCTTGGATGCAACATGAGCATCAAAATGCACTACTTGTTATCAAATTTGGATTAGTTCCCTTAGAACCTCGGTTCTATGGGTGACGAGCAAGGGGAAAGATTCCATCAGGACATGAAAGAGATGGAGGCCAGGCAGCAGGGATGCTGGGATGCAGTTATGATGCCTGAGACACCCCCTGCTGCTGATCAAAGAAGTGCAAGTTAAATTCCTGAATTTTGAACAACCTTTACTGGCCCATATCAAAGTACATACTGATCAACTTTTGGATCATTCAGTTCATAAAATCTGCAATAAAATAAATATTTCCTTTTTAAATCCGATATTTGATCAGAGGACTTAAATAAATCGATCTTTAAAAAATGAAATTTAGTGAAAAAATCGATTTAATCCTATCGAGTTAGCATCTAAATCTGACCTGATACAGAAAAAGGGAAATCATTTTCAAATTCAGAACATCAAACTTATACAAGATCAGCTCAAAAAACTTAGACACCTTGGAAATTTTTTTGTACCCCGGTGTAATTTTTCGTTTAACACACGGTATCTCAACAAATCATGGCTCAAAATACCGAAAACAAAAAATAAATTCATTTTTTCAAAATGTGAACAAGCCTGAAGTCTGTAAAAATTGTGCCAAAGTCACATATCAATGGTGTTTAAACTTAAATGCTATTCGTTGTCTCACAATTCTTACAGAAGAGTCAGGTAAGTTGATAAAGGAGAATAATTCATCTACAACAATGTTAAAATTCTGGCAAATCATTTACAAAAAGATCGTTTTGATTTGAATGGAATTTAAAGGAATTGTTAAGCAAATAAAAAGCTATGATAGAAAACTGTAAAATTAAGTAGATTCGAAATAGCTGACTTTCGTACCATCTGATGGAAATTCCAAATTCTCTTCAAAGTTTCCTTTGCTACAAATAAAAAGGCTTTTTTTTATTCAGCTACGATGCCAAGAACTACCCAGAAAAAATTGCCTTAATCTTCATCCTTTAAAATAAACTTATTAGAAATTAACTCGCTGCTTTACAAAATTGTTTAAACAGCCTTTTGGTGGTACAAAACTTGAAAATGGCTTTGAAAAAAGCAAACATTTGAGTAAACTAAAGCTTTTTGTCTGACACTCACTGCCGCTTGTCTATTGAGACTCCATTGGTAACATTCTCAATAGGCAAGCGGCAGTGATTGGGCAACGTCAACAGTCATGTGCTCGCGTTTCTGATTGGCCTATTTCGATCGACAACTGGGTATATATACTTCCTAGCGTACAGTTTTCGATCTATGTTCTGACGTTTTAAATTCTGAAGAGTGTCATACGAAAAGCTTTAGTTTACTCAAAATTGTTTAAGCTTAACCATGTACCTATAGGTTCAAGCTATAAACCAATCGAGAATTGTCACAATTATTGAAAAATTGAGAGAGATTAGAAGGCTTCAAATACGAAAAGACCAAAGCAATACCAGTTTACATTCCATTATATTCCTTCACCATTTCTTTATATAGAAATGTCTCATACAAAAGGTCGGTTCTTTATTTGAGATACATTCTTCAATAACTCAAATTAAACTTAATGGATCTCCAAAGGCTTAAATCATAGAGTCCATGAGTAAAAGTTCTGTATTTGAATCATTTTATATCACGGTTTTTATATCTTTCCATGAAGTAAAACTATATTCATATACAAATTAAAATCAAGGAGAAATGCTCTACCTAACAGTGAATAAGCCAAGTTCAGCTAATGTAAATACTGCTTTCATAACAAATTTTCTTATAAACAAAACAATTTAAAGATTTGAAACGCAAAACAGCAACGTGGAAATCAAAATTTCTACTGATGTTAGCTGACTAGATTGAAACTTAGAGTATGCCAAATCCAGTTCACAAGCTTGCACCATAGCTTATACTTCAGATAAATATGACTGCAAGCCTTTTGCTATCTGCGTGAAAAAAGATGAAGAACATTGCGTTAAGATACCTTTTAAGAGCTGGTATTGGCCTGTCTTCCGGATCTTGAAGCTAAAATATAAACAACATTGGATTAGAGAGAGAGAGAGAGAGAGAGAGAGAGAGAGAGAGAGAGAGAGAGAGAGAGAGAGAGAGAGAGAGAGAGAGAGAGAGAGAGAGAGAGAGAGAGAGAGAGAGAGAGAGAGAGAGAGAGAGAGAGAGAGAGAGAGAGAGAGAGAGAAAGAGAGAGAGAGAGAGAGAGAGAGAGAGAGAGAGAGAGAGAGAGAGAGAGAGAGAGAGAGAGAGAGAGAGAGAAGACGATCTTGAACGCTTTTGTAACTAGAATTATTCCAAAATTGCTTT